TTATGATGCTTATGAATGGATCAATGGAGATGGAAATACAACAATATATGATCCAACATATTAAAAAGTTAGATTTAATTATTTAAATTTAGGAGTCATTCAGATTCAGAATCAGTAATTTAATTAATTAATATAATAATATTGTTTAGATACTGATTTTAAACAGTTAATCTTGTTAAGAGACAAAAGGAATAGAATCAAATATCATTCAGAATATTGGGTATTATAGAAAACGGTGAAAGGATATTATGATGAGTTTTGATAACCATAGATAGAAAACAAAATAAATTGTTGCAAGTAAAAAGGTTTTTGATGCGTTTTATTATTAACTCGCTTTTAGTGAAGTCATCTTTTTGTAAGAGATAATGCTATTCGAATGATTAATATTCATAGAGCTGTTAATAATTAAGATCTATATTATTGCTTTTGATTTCATGGTAACAGACCTCCTTACAATAATAAGGTGAAATCCTTGTAGAAACTTATTAGAGATAAGCATTTAAACTTTAATTTCAGATACAAAACTTATTAAATACTTAAAGCATTAAATAAATTAATCATTCATAGAGATCTAAAATCATCTAATGTTATACTTGATGGAGGATGCAATGTCAAAGTTGTTGATTTTGGTTAGCTTAAAAGTATTTAAATTAAATTGACTATGGGCCATTCTAAATGAATATGCAGCAACTTGATATTTTATAATATTTTTCAATTTATTATAATAATTTCAAACCTTATATCACTCAAGCTGTAATAAGAAATTTATAATTAAAGAATATAGAAAGATGATGTATTTAGAAAATAGGAAGAAATATGAAACAAAATTTGAGAAATCATTTAAAAAAACATAGAATAAATCTAATAAGAAAGAAAAAGTATTAAACTTCTTCAAAAAATATCAAAAAACCTTATGTTCCTTCAATTCTAAACTTCCTAATGATCAAAATAAGATCCTAACATCCAGTATGTTTCACAAAACAATCTTACAGGGATATTTATCAAATTGTAGTAAAGATTTATTAGGATAATAATCATTTTAGAATTTTAGAAGTTTAAAATAAGTAAAGAATTTATTAGTGGATGATATAGTAAAGAAATGAATAAAGAATTGAAAAATAGAAAAATTTAGTTGGCATTTCAATTAATAAAATCAAAAGAGAAAACTCCATTTCTAAAATATAAATTGTTTCTCCTTAAACTTGACCTAATCAAAAACCTTAAAATAAAATTCAAGAAACAGTCAAGTTCCGTTAGTAGAAAATAGGTTTCTTCAATTATTAAAATCGTATAGTCCCTAATAACGAAATAATATTGACTTTTTTTTGCTGCATAAAGAGAATCAGTTTCAAAATGCAGGAGGAAGTACATCGTTTTTATGTTTCTTCTAATAAAACTCATTCTAATTTCAATTATAGCAAGAAAATCTCCTAAGTCAATAGTTTCTTAGGTGATCATAATACTTTTATACATCAAAGATACTTTTAGCATAATAAGAAATGCATTAAAAAGTACCGTGTCTTAAATTCTTTTATCTCTTAAATATCCAGAATAGAAGAAATGCCATATTAAATATTAATCAATTTGAAGAATCACATATACAAATGTTCATGCTAATTATTCATAGTAGTATTAAGTTTAAAGAATGCAAAATCTCAAACATCGATTGTACTAATCACTGTGATACAAATTTAATCTAATACCATGAAGAGTATTATCTCATCAAAGCCATCCTGAATAGTGTATTCTGTTTCGAATTTCCAGAAATTATATTGTAATTCAACAATTCCCATTCCCTGATATTATGCATAATTAGTTTCATAAAGTGAGATTTTATATGGTAGAATTA